ATTCAGTATTTAGAAGAGTCTCTGCTTGAGATGGTAGATTTGCTTTTCTTGCCATTAAGAGCTTTACCAGAACACTGCCACTGCCAAGGAGATGCTAAAACACGGGTTTCTCATCACCGAAGCAGATGAACGGGGAGAATGAGTTCATTGGCTCAGATTAAGTGCATGCAAGTTAGATTGATTAGACGGGCTGACATTTACTTAGCAGCGAAGGGAAGTGAGTGAAATCACAGAGGCAAAAAGAACCTTGAAGAAGAGCTCAAATGCTGTTTTCCAGACACTTCAGAAGAGTGCTTTTCCTAACCACTCTAGCCTCCTGAGGACAGCCAGATGGTGGCAGGGGGGAAGCTTATGCCCAGGTTGCCTCTTTCTTTTTCCTTCTGTCCCCCGATTCTCCCACCTGGCAGGAAGTTGCAGTGGACTGCTTTATTCCCCTGTTGAGCACACAGGAAGCTGTAGCTGAAATTACCTGTCCCTACCTTGCCAACCCTCTGGGCTTGGGAACTGAGAGGAATGGGCTGGGACAGGCCAGCCGAAGGGTAGCCAAGGTAAGTCAGCTGGTGAGGAACTGCCTTTTCCTCCTCTCCCTCTGTTTAAGAAGAACAGGAAGGGACCTTGATAGTGGTGGTCTAAACCAGTGATTCTCAACCTGTGGGTCACAACATTGCAAGAAAATGAGGGTTGTGAACAAATTTTTAAAATGGACTCTTTGAAAGAAGAAAAAAAAAAAAAGGAAATGGGGGCTTTTTCCTTTCAAGCTGGCACTCTGCCAGCCTGCAAGGAGCTGCTTGAGGTCCCCCCATGTCCATTCCCCACCATCCCACACTGGGGGGGCTGGGGACAGTGAGTTGGGAATGGCCATCAGTGTTTACAAATGAGTAAAAAAAGGTTGAGAACCACTGGTCTAAACTAGTCTAAGACTGAGGGAAGGACCGTAGTCTGTCTTTTATGAAAGAGGATGCAAGTGATGAGGTTCACACTTAGAGATGCATTGACTTCAGCAAACTTTGACACGAGGACAGTGGTTTAGGGGAAATAAGTCTTGGGAGCAAACAAAATGCTGTTGAATAAAGATGTTGAAATAAAGCTGGTTTTGATGGCACCTAAAGATTGCTACTTCAGTTACCAGAATTCTTCTTCAAGTGTGTCAATATTAGTGAGAATAAGAACTATTTATGCTCTTCAGCTTTGTGACTAGGAGTAAGGAAGTCTGTCTCGCACTGATCAAGCAGTCCCTGCCAGTGAACTAACAATATAAAATCAGATGATCAAAAAGTTTAATGATTCAGACACCGATTAAATTAGGACCCTGTAAAAAGATGAGAGAAAAGCCTTTGTCCCTAAATAACCTAGGGAATGAATATAAAGTATGAAGATGCAGGAGCACTGGGGGAAGAACATGCATATGGAAAGGACCTGAAGTATGTTACTATTTTTGAAGACAAATGTAGGCCACATATCTCCATACAAGCCACAGAAAAGTAGAGTAGTTTGACTGGCTCTCTTGTTTTTAGATCTTCCTTACTGATGCTTTGCAGTGTTTTGCTAAAGGAGCAAATTGCTATTTTCAGGTCTAATTCAAGCACATGTAAGTTAGAAATAACATCAAAATACTCTGCTTTCCATGTAACATGAACAGTTTCCTTTGTTGTTGTTGTTATCTGTATCTAAAGAGGCTGTTGCATTAAAAGGACAAGATATTCGAGCTCATTCAGAATTGACAGTTTCAAGAAAATAGCCTGACAGTGTTAATCTAGTAGAAAATGAGGCTTGCATACACCAGTAAAGCAAAATACCATTTCTTTGTGGAAAGAGGAATAAAAATACTGATGTTTTCAGCATTACTTAGCTCTTGCCAGGTGTCAAAGTGTGGCAGTCAGTCACTCCTTTTACAAACGGGTGGCACTAGGCATCACTGAGAATTGCCTATGAGAAAGCATTTATTGAGGCAGGTCAGGTAACAGGAATCGGTCAGTACCTGCAGTTCCTCTCTAGAGGTGTGCTAGCCTCATTTTAAATAGTACTTTGGAAAAACTAAGCAGTTCATATTCCAAGTGTATATGGTACTAGCTAGACCTCAGAGCAGTGGTCCTCAACCTTTTTTTGAGTGGGGGCACCTGGACAGACTCAAAGCGCACTTTGAAAATGCCAGTTTTTTGTTTAACTACAGGAAAATAACAGAACAACTCTTCCATTGTAAAGAACTCAAAAAGACCACAGCAGGGCAGGGTGTTTTTAATGCTATGGATTCCTATCATGTTTGCACATCTAATCATATTTCCATACCTAACACTGCAAATATTGTGGGTCACCCCACAGCACCCCCTGACAGGATTTTCACCATCTTAGATATTACATTTATCAGTTTGCTATTATTTTATATATGTCATAATATTGGACATAGAAAACCAAGCTTGCTTTGCTAAAAAAATTATTTCAATACATTAAACCATTAAAAATTACATAATTTATAATAGAAAAAGTGTCTGCCATCCAGCTTGAGATTCTAATTACTGTATTAGCTAAGTCTGAAAAGAAACTTTTTTGTAGTCTAATATTGCTGTTCTCTCACCTGTACCATTAACCTGGAAGTATTTATAGCATATGTAAATGCAAACACTTCATATTAGCTAAAAATAACTATTGGTGTGTATAAAGAATGAGAGAAAATTTGCTGTATTTTTTTTAAATCTTCTCTATTTAATATTAAATGTTACATTGTATATTAACATTTAATAATTTAAAACAATTTAAGTTAAGAGAACTTTTTATATGTTTATTATTTTAAAATAATTAACAGTTTATTTTAAAAACTTGTTTTACAAAGGATTTGCTGTGAGTCTTCAAGTGATTCTCTCACACCCTAAAGCTGTATTCAAACGCCGTGGGTCTCAACCAGGTATGCAAGAATCAGATTTTCTCAAACAGATAACAACAGTGGAGGAGCTGGAACCAAAAGCAAACAACTGCACAAAGGTACTATTCCACTATTACTGCTGAGCTTCTACTACTGTCTCTGTAGATTGCCTAATACTGTACTAATGAAACTGCTGTTTTGTAGGTTCTTGTATGGCACACTCGAACAGAAAAGGTAAATCTAGCTAACGAGCCAAAATATCATCTGGACACGGTTAATATTGAGGTATGATCTGGAGATGTAACTATATGAACATACCTCAGAAAATGGATGTGACCGAAGATGTCCGAGTTCAGCCAATTACATTCAAGCACTGTACAATCTACTGTGCAACATCTTTTACCAGTCATCTGATGGACTTCTGTGCAGGCAAAACAGTTGTCAGATAACCCAATACATACATCAGACGGTACAAGCCATATGTGCTTTGTTCTAGCTTGTTTTGCATGCATTCCTCAACTTTCTCCCAGTTCATTAAATTGATATCCACATTTTTGTTTTGAGATATTTTTAACCCCCTCCATGGAAACTAACCCCAAAAACAGAAGGCTGAAACATGGCTGCTGAGGAACATTTTTATATATTTTCTTGAATTTATCCCACTTAAACGATGGCAATTATAACTTGCTTTGGACTACAAAATGTTGATCACTAAAACAGTGCTGTAATGCACCTTCCAATTTGATTTTTTTTTTTGTATAAAGCAGCTTTTTTGAGGGAAAAATAGTCAAGTAGATCATACAATAGAGAAATGAACACACGCACAATGATCTGTGGATTTATCTTTTTAATATAGGGAAATAACATTTTATCAATACGAGGCACCATAAAATGTAAACACAATTACTGCCATAAACCTGGATATATCTGCAAGGACAAATGTTTCCATACGTGTTAAGTTACCCTGTATGCATACTGTGCAATAAATTCTTTATATATTAGCACTGTGTATACACGTAAGGAGCCAAATTGCATATTTTGTCACAGGAAACTCAAATGGATCAAATACTCATTTTTAAAAAATAATAAACTAAAAATTTGTAGAACTACAGCAACATCCAGGTTTATCTTTCTTCACTAACCATGTTCCCTGTTAAGCACGCCATAATAACATCACAGTGAAATGAATTATGAAACAAAATTTGTTTGGTACACTAGAAAACATTGTTCAGTGATACATTTACATTCTATTTATATGATTAAACATTTGTTCATACAGTACCTTCTACAGGATTACTGGGTAATTTTGGAGGGGCAGGGTTTATATTTGTAAAGATATTACTAACATGATAGCTACGTCCCTTATATGAAACATCTGACCTAGGATTTTGAGAAAAAAATTGAATATGCAATTGGCTAAGCAGCTTCTTAGAGATATGGTTTATGAAATCATATGTACTGTAACATGAAAAAGCTGCCAATGATATATAAATGTATTCTCAATCTGCTTTTCACTACATCAAATTTAAATCAATAGAGACCACAACACGGTCAGTTAGGTAACTTCTTAATCTGAACAACTGGGGGGAAAAGAAAAAGAATATGTACATGGAGAGAACAGGGAAACCAAATGCATTTAAGCAAGGAATGTCAGGTGGCTCTTCTAGATGAACCTTCTATTGCAACTTTCATTTCCACAGTTGTGTGCTGAGTGTCTGACCCGAGGAGCTTCCATTCCATCCTGCCACTGTATTTGGGGGCTGACCAAAGCCCATCATAGTGCTGGAGCTACTGAGATTCATGCCAGCCATTTGTTGATTCATCTGTAAAATGCATACAGACTGTAGTTAGTTCTGGTGTTGGAGCACAGTTTTCAATAGCTGGAGGTAGTAATGCATTCTGACTAACAAACCCAACTAAGAAAATTAATTTTAGGGGGGGGGGGGGGGGGGGGGGGGGGGGGGGGGAAGAATAGGAGATCAGTGTTACTTCTGTACTGTTTTCTAAAATGTAAATTGAGAACACTTCTCTTAAAATATGTATTTTTCCAAAGTATAAGCTTTTCTAGGAGCAGGATATTTTTTTAAAAAAATGAAAAGATGCACAGATTTTGTGGTACACACCAATCTGCACAAACATTTATATAAATTGAATTAATAGAAAACTGAAAAAATCTCAGGACCTGTATGTTTTATATAAAATAAAAGCTCTCTCCCAAGTTAGACAGAAGTTGTTGGATAGCTTTGTTTTGTGATAGCTAAGAAGAAAAAAAAAGTGTCAAATGTTCTATGTCTGTATATCATACAGTATGCTAAAGCACATTTATAACTGTTGATAGTGTACACAGATTAGCAATCAAGAGTTAGATGTCTTAGTATGTGAAAGCTGAAATACTCAAGACCTTGCTCAAGAGTACTAGAAATCCAGTATTAAAGAAACTGATGCATAACATTTGGATTGAGATGAGTTAAGACATGCAGTCTTGAGCATTACTGTTGGTTAATAAATACAAAAGCTGATCAAGAAATGTTAACATTTCTTTCAAATTAGAATGGAATGCTTTACAATAAAAGTCAACTAATTAGAGGAGGCACCCAGTTATTGCCCCTCATTTAAACCTAGTGTAAATATATTTGGTTTAGGTAGGAGGTACAATGTAACTTATCCTCCAAGAGTATAAGTTAATTTAGAGTAATTTTCAGGACTCAATACAAGAAAAAAAATAGCCTTCTCCTACCAAAATATTTTGGTGTTAAAATAACAAAAGTAATTGTGGCATGTATTCAAAGTAAATCTGCATTAATGCAAAGTGTTCTAGAACAAAATGCCACTTGGAGAAATGACGATTTTGAATAACAAATGGGAGTTGGACAAGCCATGACAGCAGATGAGCCTAACAGAGTTGAAGTACAAAGGATTTGGCTGAAAATCATTTGTGGCATTTCATTTAACAATTATTGTTAATACTTCACCTTGGCTCTTAAAGCTGTAGAATTTTACTCTAGTAAATGTCCTATATAGCTTCTAGTTTATATATGCAAAATTAGAGCTGTATTTAATTCAAACACTGATATTAGAAAATATTGTATGGGTTTAAATACCAAATTATCTTGATTTCATAGAACAGGTCATTCATTTCATTTGAACTAAAGGTTAAAAGACATGCTACTTCAGATATCTTATTAATGCTACAGCACTCTTCATACATGGTTAATTTTTTTTTTTTTTTTTTTTTTTTTAAACACAACACTACAGATTATGTAGTTAGAATACACCATTCATCTGTAGCAGACTCAGGGCAAAAGCTCACTTTAAATCATCTCCTAGAAAGGACAGAGCAAACAGTCACTTTCAGCAAGGCCAAACTGTGCCCTTTGTTGTAACAGGGTATCTATATTGCAGTCACTGCAGCACTATGGAGCTTAAATGCTGGCTGTAAAACTCACTTGAGAACCAGCAAAAATACAATGAATGCACACTGAATTCTGCACTGCCATGGGGAGCTACAGCTGCAGCTTTCCTAGTGTACCTTAAACACACAATATATCGAAAACAAATTACTTCATTTTTGGAACAGTGTTTTTTTGCCCTAGTTAAAAGGAAAAAATGTATCCTTACCTGAGAGAGATTCCATTGAGCTTGCTGAGTTTGTGGCATGCCATATTTATTTTGTTGAGTAACCATTTGCCCCACCATTCCACCTGGGGGTGCAGCAACGTTCTGAGGAAGTCCCATCACCCCAGTTTGTGCAGTGCCAGTGAAACCATTTGGAACTCCCATTCCCACCATCATGCTTGTGTTCTGTCCAATGACAGGCACCGGTTGTCCCATCATATTTCCCATCATTCCAGAAGCTGCAGGCACAGGTACACCCATGGCTGAAAAACCTTGAAAATGAGATGATGGTTGTGTGGTAAATGGCATAGACGATGATCCTATGAACATACCTGCATTTGGGTAGAGCAGAAAATGAAAAGAAGTATTAAGAAATAATAAGAATGCTCGCTGATTCTTTTCCCTAACATTTGAAGAATTAAGTGCCAGTTTTAGAGGATAAAATCTATGGAACTGAATTTGTCCACACTTGTTCAGTTTAATACAAAACCGGTACCTAGAAAGACTGCACTCATGTTTAGGTAGAATGGTTCAGTTGCAGAACTGGACCTATGAACAACACAGCTGAACTGCCAACGGGAACAAATTCTCAGAGCGAAGCAGCCTTGGGCCAGAATTGTTCCAATTTGTATCAGTGCCATTTCAGTCATAGCACTAGAAATCACTGGATACCTACCAGTTTAACTAAAATCAAAATGTGATTCCTGAAAATGATTTGGGCAATCTGCTGTTCACATGCTAAGGACTCTTGTCTCACACCTGCAGCAATGAATGTTCACTCAACAAAAATTTAATCAAATCCTAAAATGAGGACTTTCAGTAAATCGTGTATGTGATAGTTTATAATCTGTGAACAGCTGTAACTTCAAATAAATAAAAATCAGTCTGAATCCTTTTGGTCTCAGTGCTTCATTTATTTTTGCTCTTCAGTTGTGAAAGTGGTAAAAACAAAAATCTAGTTTGTTTGAATATGCATAATTTAGGATAAATGTGCTTCATTCTGTGTTGACAGGAGATTATGATGACTATAATCTAAACAGTACTCAAGAATATGATCAATTTAGAAACAAATCTGAAAATTACCTGGAGCATTTTGTTGTTGCATGGTCCCTGTGCCATACAGTGATAAAATTGAGTCTTTAGAGAGTTGTTTCTTTGCTGACTCTTCTGATTTTGTTGTTTGCTCAGTGAATAGATCAAGATCCGCAGACGCTGAAGATAAAGTAGCAGCTGCTGGTTTAGTGGAAGCAGTCTGAAAAAATTTGTTCAAAACAGATTACTGTATGAAATTATTCATGCAAATTGTGTTAGATTAAGTGCTGCGTATTCTCACTCTTAAACTAGATACAAATCAGTTTAATTAGGAACTTCATTGTAAATGAAATCAGTATTTTAAAGTTTGTCATATATTACCACAAACAAGCCGAACATACAGCATCTAGAAAGAGGTAGATCAAGGTTAAAAAAAAAAAAAAAAAAAGGAAGAGCAAAAATGCCTTTGGGTGGATTTTAATGCTTACATACATATATTACATAATTCCTGCTCTTCATAAATAATTTCTCATCTGCGGGTAGCATAAATCATGAGATGAAGTTAAATTATGAAAAATGATCAAAAAAACCAAAGAGATTACAATTTCACATTTCTCATTAATCCTCTCAGAGACAGAATACATTATGCAGAAACTAAATAAAAAGCTTTTCAGTGTTGTAAGACCTTGTCTAAGGTTATTTTCTATCAATAATGTACAGTAATATTTTAATAGATCTGTATGTATATATCATTTTGGAATTGTTGCACAATAGTTTTACAAACAGGAAATGGACTTGTGAACATTTGAAGTTCCCCATCAAGCTGAAACAGTGAATTCCAAGTTGCAAACTTCAAATGTACCTTCACCTTTTCAGTTTTTTATTACATCTCTTTAAATTAATATAAATGATTTTATGTAGATCGTTTTCCTATTCTATTTATTTTGTTATTGATATTCATACAGTTCAGTTATGCACAGTTCTTTGCCTCAAGCACCTGACTGAGCAATATATATTATTGTCTTTATGCAATGAATACCTCCTTATCAAAATTAAACTGTTTATTTTGCAGTGGAAACTTACTGATTGCAACTGTGCACATGAAAAAAAGATGCCAGACAAAAATGTGCTTCTTGTTGGATTTGGCCTTTATTTAAAAGTACCAATTAAAATCAACAGGAGTTGGATCAACCCCAAACAATCAAGGATATCCTACCTAGTAAAGGAGCATGCACAGTGAAGCCACTAAAAGGGAAGTTAAGAATTCTGCACTTGTCCAGCAATAAGGAATTTGGCTCTGCAAATTCCCCTGCTATTTTTTAACCTACTCAGAGGTCAAAGGGCACAGATTAATGCTCTGCCCATTCCAAGGCCTCCAGTTAGTGCTTGTGCCTCACCCTTGTTTAGAAACCCCACTACTTGGGCTGCCAGGTTGCCAGCCAGGCCCTACAGACTAGTACCAATTCTAGATTCTTGTAACTGTTGCAGTATAAACAAACCTTCAATGCAAATTTTAAAACAACAAAATAGCAACATGATACCATCCAAAGCTGTCAGGGGAAAAGGTCTTCATAATTCCCAATGTGGCCAACAGAAAGATTGTGGCACTGAACTATCTCAGCCAATATCAACCACAGGGGAAACAGGACAGATGACAGAAGACTCAGTGTGACTGCTGGCTTGGGAGAGGTTCCAGGATACTTTGCTAGGGAGATGAGTAGGTGGCGGCCCAGTGCCAATCAAGGAGAGAAACAAGGACTAGAGATTCACTAGATTCTGAAACACATTATAAGGCAGTCAAAGGGTAGGGTAGGAATAGGAGACCATGCTTGAGAAAACAGAAAGGAGGAGACAATACAGCTGCATAGTTCCCTATTGCCAAGTCAAACCTGTCCTCGCTGGTTAGGCGGGCATGTAGTTACAGTGGCAGCTTCTCTTCAAACAGGTTAACACAGTGTTTGTTCTCGTTTATTACAGATGCACACATTTCTTAATGCAGATCAGAATAAAAAATGGTATGTGGCAGATGAGATCCTGCTATTCTCACATTTCTTTTGGAACACACCACATACAAAATGTTAAATATTTACATTTAGGTAGAACACCTTTATTTACTCTTAAATAACATTTCTCTTAGCATGCAGGTTGTATGTCTTATTGTTACATGCCATCATGATCTATTTACCTAGTGGATTAGCACAAGCAGGCAAGGTCCCTGAAATAGTAACAGGTATAAAGCTCAGTATATTAAAGCACATCTAATAACTGCTAGAAGAGCTCTCCTTCCATTACTGATGTTGCTGGATAAAATTACTTTTGAATTTCTGAGTTGCTGCCAGACAAGGATTCTTCCTCCTCACCTAGGAAGGACCACATGCTCTGCTGTCCCTTGATGTGCCACTCCCCCAAGAGTACAGTAACAAAACAAAACTGAAGGTAATCAGAAACAAAGAATGCACACAAGAGTAGAGTTTGAATAATTTATGTTATATTCATGCTGTTTTGGGGATTATTTGATGGGTCATTTGTTTATTTGGTGATTTTTTTTAACTGTTTCAAGGAGGCCCATGACAACGGATACACTTATTGCAGATTGTGTTTTAAAAAGTTCGCTAGTTATTGCAGTTTCTACCTCAGTCTCCCGTCTTCAGGCTCTGCTGTAAGAAGGGCTGGAACCAGACCACAGCACTGAACGTTTAAATTCTTTCAACTTTATGCAGTTTCAGCTTTGGATACAAATCTGTAACCTCCCCAGACTTAAATACATTTTAGAAAAAAGTATTCTATGAATACAGAAAACTTAAACTTATGCCAGTACTAAAATATAACAGTAAAATGTATTCATCTTTTTAATCCTTTACAACTCCAAAAGTTTTGTATCATCTCATTGCAAGAGTTTGACAATGCCCACAATGGCCAAATAGCATGAAGGGCTGCCATCACTTGATGCTTTTTGCATTAACCACATCAAATACTTACAGTGACAGAGGCCAACTAGCAAGTACAAAAAGAACGAACCTTTAAGTTAAAACGCTTGAAATTTTTTTATAATATTAGAAACAAAAATGAGAAATATATACTCTATTAAATTATTTAAGACCTCTTTAACCAACTTCAGTATATATACACAAAGAGTATATACCCTTAAGAAATTCTGCACACAATATTCTTAAGGCAAATGTGATATACAAAACCTTTGAGTACCTTAATCTGCAGGTGCCTCAGTGATTGCACTAAAGAGAAGTATCACGATATATTAATATTACATTATATTAGCCAATAATCACACTTTACTATACTGGAATCAAAATTATTTTTTAAATGCTGCCTATAGTTTATACAAATGGAGATGAAGTATCTTTAGAGCAGAAGAAAAAAGTGACAGAACCCTGAGGCACCAGGACCCACGGAGAAGTAATTCCAAATCCGACTGTAGGCAAGGTACTTATAATACTGTTTATTTGGCTGACAAAAGGAAGTTTGTATTACTGTATCTGAGACTGGAAACAAATTCTGTTCTCATTCTGACCTGAATTCTTAACATGTTATGCTGTCAAGGAGGCTGGATAATGGAAGGATTATGAAATGTTCAGATTAACAAGAAGTTTATATTAGTCCAAATGTGATACAAATCACAATAGATATAACAAAGAGAAGCTTACTTGCTTTCCCTCTGAACTTAATCCAAAGAAGTTCAATATTTAACATTTGTGATATTATTCTGAAGTTGAATGGAGGTAAAAACATACTTTAAAGACAAAATACTGAAAGCACATATTGCAAAAAAAAATTATATTGTATGATTGGTGCAATTTACCACGCATTTTCTTTAAGTCTTTTTACTGCTCAACTGAATCACTCTTTTAGAAACTGACCACAATACTCCTAAGCAATTTAGAAGCAGGATTAGAGAGCGAGAAGAACCAGGAGGAGACAGCATCATGGAAGCCATGAGAGGACAAACTTTCATGGAGGAGGACACAGTCATTGATATTAGAGGCAGGTGATGGATGGATCAGGATGAGAAAGGAACACTGCTTCTAAGTTGTGGCTAGAAAGACACTATTAGACTTAGGCAAGTGTTTCAGTTCAGTAGAGTCCAGCCACAGAAGTGGGACTAGAGATGGTCTCAGATGGAAATGGAGCAAGCAAATCTAGTTGAATAGGCACGAGGGATTGTGGGCGATACGACAGTGAATACAGCTTCTGAATTCTGCTTGATATTATGAAAGTCTCTATGAAAACATTGTGGGATTCCTCTGCTTCACCACTGGGCTGGATTACCATGTCTGCTAAACCAGAGGCGAGCTGCTATTGCTCAGCCATCATCTATTCAAGGCCAAGTACCTTAGAACAACAGGTTTGGGTGGTGGGCCTGGAGGAAGCTATTTTTTCCTGTTACCGAAAGGGAGAGGGGAAGTGTGTATTTAAATTGTGAGCTCCTTGAGGCAGGGACCATGTACACCTATTCCTGGTTGGCCCTATGCACTACCTGAAACATGAGGATCAGAGGATGTTACACTAATTCCTCATGTCTTATCTCAACTGTGCTGGGGAAGGTAAAGTCAAAGATCTACTCAGTCTCCATGTGCATATATGCAAGGAAGATTACTGACTTTATGACAGTATACTCCTCCTCAACCTTCCCCCTACTGCCTGTGATGTAGGTAACCTGAGTGAAGAAATGAGTAAGAAGCCACATATGGTTCATGTTACCTTGTGTAGGCAAGAAAAGTAGCTCAAAATCATGGAATTTTTTTTTTTTTTTTAAAACAGTATCCCTTTTGATACCAGGAAGCTTGGTGGATCCAAACACTTTTGTTTGTTTTCATATGCATGGATAATTCTAATTCAAAATCCGTCTTCTCAAGGTATTCCTAAATTACATTTTATATATTACATGCCAGTTTCTTTCTTTTGAGAAAAGTATCTGTTAGGCCAACTAGTATCTTGCACTTTATAATTTAATCCTAAATTATTAGATTTCCCACTGTGAGAGGGAGTGGGAGGGATGGGGAAATATATTCATAACTACCGTGTCTTAGACTGAAGGCTCTTTCAATGGACATAGATAGTAACAAAGGATTTTAATACCCGCAATTTTGACTGCTACTAAATTTTTGCTCTCTTTCC